CTGCAAACAAGACACAATGCATATTAATATCAACAGTAAACATTAGAGACAAACCAAATACTAAATAAACTATACATACAATACATGATGGCATTTGAATCTAAAAATCTACAAGGCACAATCATGAGCTACATCAAATTTTATCTTCCTTAAAACCTAACGTTCATCCAAGCAACAAATGCTGCATGACCTTCAAATCTTCCAACTGTTTATTTTCCCAAACCCCCCCTCCTCCCTCCCTCCCTCCCCCCACCCCGCCTAACAAGCCTGTCACATACGATAGACGGATCTTCTACTCCAGGCGTCGGCTCGTATTTCATATGAACGAGAAACCGATAAACAACGGGATGGCACGACCACTAAAAACCTCCCTGTCCTCTCAAGTGGACGACACGCATTAAGGTGGGATTATCGGGAATTCCCCCGATTCTGCCCACGCGGAAACGGTAATGGCGAGCAGATGTGAAAAGGAGAGAAAAGGGACAATCAAAGGCACTGTAAAACTAGCGAGAAAGTGGACCTAAACGAACAAAACAAAGGAAAGACAGGAGAGAGACGGTGAAATAGGACTAGAGGATAGATGGAGGGACAGAAGCGAGAGAGAGAGAGAGAGAGGCGACGAGGTGATATAGAGAGGATAGAGGCAAAGTGGTGACGTGAGGGCTGGCAAGACGCCACTGCCAGGGGGCTATTTCCAGCGTCGCCTCGCTCCCACACGGTAAAATTCTAGCTCTCTTTTCAACCAACTCGACCGCTTCTTCCCTCATTCCTGCGTTGCATCATCATCGACAAAGGCTCTTCTAAATAACCTAAAGAGACTATAAACTCGAGAGAACTAACGCTTTCCTAGAAGAGGTCCCTCGGTTTCATATCATCTTCAATTTGCCGTGAGATATTACTGCCACATTCCTTCGCAGTGGGCCAACTGGCCGCCGCCCAACAAAACACTGAAAAACGTAAGGTTTCTCCCCTCCACAACAAAGATGATAAACAGAGGCTGCTAAAGGCGAAAAGGACATACAATTTACTTCTTTATACCAAAACAAATCAGTTAAATTCTCCAAAGCAACAATGAACCATTACTGGAACCTTAACAAAACCAAATATACCAAGCATAACAAGCAACCCCGGTGCATTGAAAATAATAACCTTCTTCACAAAACGTATGGGATATTTCTGCCCCTTCAAATCCCGCCCGGCCCCACACTTGACTCCCCAAAAAGCGTGACAACCCTCTAAGATTTCCCCACCCGCGACTCCGGCCATCGAGAAGCCCTGCTTTGTGTGGCCCAGGCCCTCAAGCTCGCATAGGGCGGGTTGGTGAGTGCAATGAAGGCTTCCCTCCCCCTCCCTTTGCCTACGTCACTGAGACACGCACACATACACACACGCACGCACGCGCAGAGAGACACACATACAAGCCAGTGGAAAACTTACAAAGTCAGGTACGAAGAACAGGAACTGCTCGTCCGTTAATCTGACGTCATAAACGAAGCTATTTTTTCTGGTTCTGGACTTGGAGTTTCCTTTGCTAGGCGTGGACGATAGGGGCGTGTGGGCGGGGGTGTGGGTTGGCGTAGTCTTGGGCGTGACCATCGGCGACTCCGGCGGCGATAAGGAGTGCGTGGGCGTGTAGGTGCTACTGGGGTAGTCTGTGTTGTTATTTGTATATTCTGTGTTGTTGTTTGTGAACTCTGGGTGGCTGTACTTCTGGTCCGCGAACTCGTGCTGGGCATACTCGTGCTGCGCGAAGCCAGAGTCCACACAGCTGGAGAAGGTGGGCGTCCGGGATATGTCTTGAGTGGGGGTTGCTGGCGGTGTTATGGGCACGCCGCCTCCCATACCCGCGGACACATGCGGGTATCCGCAGTGCAAAGCATCCATTTGCATGGTGATGGGCGCCGTGCTGGCGGTCGTAGGGCACAAGTCAAGCAGTGTTGCGGCTGAGGCTCCTCACCGAGAGGCGGGAGCGAGGTTGGGCACTACTGGCACACAGGCACAGACACAAGGCACGACACTCTCACTAAGGCACTGTAGCGCACCTTAAAGCTTGCTTCACTTTCTACTATATCGAAGATGCACCGAGTCAACAAGGCGATCCGAATGGTGTTCAAACACCGTAGATTTGTACACTTGTCCTGGCTGTGGAGGTGCGGGAGCGTGGTGCTGACGTTGCCAGTGCGGTGTCGCGGTCTGAACTGACGAGCAGGCGTGCCCGCGCCCCTTATATGTCTCCACGTACACTCGCACACGCGCCACCACTTCACGCCCGTCCGCCCCGGCGCACGTACGAACACACACACACGTCAACCAACTGGGCTGGCACGTCGCCCACACACACCTGTACGCCTCTGTTTCCTCTTTTCTTGGGACTGGAGAGTCCTGTGCCCACCTTGGAGACTGGCTCCCGCGGTGCCTTCGACGCCATCGCCTTCAGTAAGGCGCGCGACGCCATTCAGCATGCAGCACACCTCAGTAAGTACAAGGTTTCATTCATTTGAACCTCAGAAAAAGATGGGCGATGGCTTACTCTTAAAAAACTTACTGGGCTCAGCTTAGACTGCATTTTTTGCGCGCTCACCCATCCCTCTCCCTTCCTCATCCTTTCCTCATGACGGATGGCTCGGCCGCTGTGTCCCGAGTATTCCTTTCCTGTTTCAGGATACTGGCCGTTTCCTTGGGGCGGCGGCCTTGGTATTATACCGCCTCGCGAGCTCGGCCTTGTGCCCCGGGATGGAACAAAGGCTCGCGTGTTGTAGGGCTATCCCCCTCTGTTCCTCGGCCATGTCTTCCCGCGACGCCCGGCGCTGCTAGACTCCCATACACACACCTTCCACTGACCTACATTCTTACAACCCCCCGAGCCATGCAACGAATCGATCAGCGTCCGTCAGATCGCAGCCCCACCGCACCCACACACCCTACACGAAGGACCCGTCGCCTCACGCCCCCTTCTCTCCTCGCGCACTTCCTTGTCCACGCCGCTACTCCGTCGGTACTTCCTTTTAGCCCCTTCGTCATGTCGCGGCTGAACACTAGTGCAACGGGCAAAGTTGCATCGCCCTGCTGACACTTGTACCTCCCTTATCTACACCCTCACTAAAACGCTTACCGCCCCTTCTAGCAACTCCCCTGTCAGGGATAACAAGCCCACGAACCCATAAAAACACATTGCTGCATTCGGCAGGAATATAAAATAAAATGAATAAAATAATACATTTGAACAATGTCTGTTACCTATCCTACTGGTCACGTTGGACCCCATGTGCTTTGCTAGGAAAAAACCGGTGCAACCAAAGAAACACTCAAACAAACGCAGATGTTATGATAGCCGCGGCCCCTCATCCCCCGACCCATGACATTTCCTCGACGCCCGAGCTGAACATCTGGCAGTGAACAGTGGCCGAAGTGCAGCGTTGCGCGGCTGTCACACCCCGCAGAGTGATGCACGCTGCACACCCCAGTCGCTTGCATGTCGGGCTTCTTTGGACTCTATTCTCACCTCTTATCCATTTCTCCCATCGAGGTGCGCTGATATCGATGGAAACTCCATGTTATAAAATAATGCTTACGACCCAAATGTAGCCTCTAGCTTAAATTCTCCTCATCACGATTTTAAAGCTGTTGTGAGAAAATAAACATCCATCAAGAGATTGCTAATGCAAGCGAAGGCACGTCTCTTGTGGGTAAGCAACAGATGGTTAAAAGAAGACAAGGCAGGACAGATATACAAGGATATTTATACGAAAAACTTAAATTCAAGCAGAATTCAGGAGCTGGAGACTTCACGCTCACAATGCAGCCGCGGCCGCCCCAGACCGTGAGGCCCCATAATAAGGCCGGCGAGCGCCCTCCTCATTACCGCGCTCCCACACTTCTTCCTCCACTTCCCTCCAGCAGGGCCCTCGAGCCGCATCTCTGCCTGCTCGGGTTACGGACGGACCCGACTCCAAGCCGCCCTTGGACTCATTCGTGCAGGTGCTCCTGGCGAACCACGCGCGCGAGAAAGGGCCCTTCGTGTCGTCAGCCTCCCTCTCGCCGCCGACACCGAGCGCCGCCGCCCCAGCCCGCCCAGACACAACACGACCGAAAAAACTCCCAACGCCCACCCCGACATCAAACAACGTCAACAAGGTAAGTTCTCCGCCGATAATCAGACCGTGCGAGAGCCCTCCGTCACAAAGACTTTATTTCGGTGACATGTCGCTGCTTCGTCCTCGGCCCCGCAGTCGCGACGGGACGGGTTAGGGAGACGCGGATCAACTGAAATGGCAAGGAGATGAGACGAGCTCATTTCGAACTTCAAGGGCCAGGGGGAGGGGGAAGAAGAGAAGAGGAGGGGAGGAGAGAGGAGAGAGAGTGAGATAAAGAAAGCGAAAGAGAGAGAGAGAGAAAAGAAAGAGTAAAAATAGCGAGGCAGAAATGAGAAAAGAGAACAAGAGCAAGCCACAGTGACAAAGAGTCGAGCCTCATCCGTCCGTGTGCAACTCGCGGCCCGGAGCTCAGCGCGCTGAGCAACGACGGAGGCAGCGCTCATCCTCGAGAGAAATGCGCGAGGCTGGGCGAGCGTGGGGATCTCGGAGGCCTGGGGATCGCCTCCGAGGCACGTCACGCTGTCTGCCATCATCGCTTTATGGAACCCCACTGAATCCCGGCTCTGCTCGGACGCACTCGCTCTAAGACAGTAAATACGCTCGCTCGCTCGCTCCTCTCTCTCTTATTGTGTGTGTGTGTGTGTGTGTGTGTGTGTGTGTGTGTGTGTGTGTGTGTGTGTGTGTGTGTGTGTGTGTGTGTGTGTGTGTGTGTGTGTGAGTGAGTGAGTGAGTGAGTGAGTGAGTGAGTGAGTGAGTGAGTGAGTGAGAGAGAGAGAGAGAGAGAGAGAGAGAGAGAGAGAGAGAGAGAGAGAGAGAGAGTGAGTGTGTGTGTGTGTGTGTGTGTGTGTGTGTGTGTGTGTGTGTGTGTGTGTGTGTGTGTGTGTGTGAGTGAGTGAGTGAGTGAGT